TTCAGCAAAAAAATGGAAAAATTAGAGATGGACCTACAGAAGACCAAGGTACAAGTAAGGACACCTGGCGTTCATGGAACTGCGAACCTCAAGGCCCCGACCTACGATGGGCAAACCACCTGGACGATGTACCACCGCCAGTTTGAAGCAGCGGCTGCTGCCAATGGATGGACTGACCAGGAGAAAGCAACGGTACTTGTCATCGCGCTGCGTGGCCCTGCCCTGGAACTCCTTCAAACTATTCCTGCAGCCCAACAGCAGGAATACCAAACTTTGGTCGCTGCACTGGACAGAAGATATGGCGACCAACATCGACGCCAACTTTACCACACACAGATCAAGACACGCCTGCAGAGGTCCGGAGAGAGTCTTCAGGAATTCGAAGCAGACTTACGTCGCCTGGTACACCTAGCGTATCCAGAAGCACCGGAAGGATTTAGGGAAGAACTGGCTGCTCAGTGCTTTATCAGCGGACTGAGGGACAACGAATTGCAGAGGGCGCTGCAAATATCCCGATTTTCTACCAGCAGCGAAGCACTGGTCAGGGCGCTGGAAATCGAAGCTGCATTTAGCGCCATCCCTAGACCGAAGATAAGATCGGTAACGGTTGAGGAACAGCCCGGAAGTTCTCACAGTTTGGAGGAGATGTTTAGTAAACTATGTGAGTTACTAGTGAACAAGAGTAGCAACAACACCCAGACAGAGAGCTATAGAAGATCACAGGACATAAGGTGCTATAGATGTGGCAGGAATGGCCACATCAAACGGGATTGCCGCGTTCATGCGATCCCGTTCAGCATCCAGAGAACGTAGGCACCAGGAAAACTAAAATCAGTCAATACTAAGGGGCGAGTATTGACTGGGGAGAACAGAGCCCCCAGGATTTTTTCCATTAGGAGTCTAGGAACAACCGCTGACAGCTTGGTGATCGACGGGAAAGTCAATGGAAAGGGAATTCGAATGACTGTGGATACTGGCGCTATGGTATCGTTGGTGCGGGCTAACTCAGTGCAAGGATTGAAGCTGATGTCTCTGGGAAGAAGAGTGTGTTTACGTACAGTTACGGGGGAAATGGCCGTTGCACGGGGAAAGGCTATCGTCGAACTGAAGTTAGGAAATTTGAAGTTTCAGCATAGCGTCTTAGTGGCAGATATTGAAGATGACTTCATCTTGGGCATGGATATGATTCGTCAACATGGATTTTCGTTCGATCACCAGAGAAATATCTTAAATATTGGATATGAAGAGTTCATGTTATCTCCAGACGAGGGACCAGGCAGAATGGATGTAAGATCAGCGGAAACTGTGGTGATACCTGGTAATACCGAGAAGATCGTATTCGGTAAAGTGGAGAAAATCGCTGGGTGCTGTGTTGGACTGGTAAAAAGTGGCGACAAGAAACAAGATAGGTACTTAGTAGGAAAGTCATTGGTGAACACCGACAAGAATATACCGATCAGAATTGCGAATGTTTTCCCGAATTGTGTCAAGATTCAAAAAGGTGACAAGATAGCCATCTGCGAACCTGTAAGAAGTGTCACCCGATGTGATGAAGTGTCGTCAGCTGTTACACAAATGGCATCCAAAGAAACACTAAAACATCTAGAACAGCCATGGGATCACCTAACATCTGAGGAGAAACAGAAGGCTAAGCAGTTCCTGCGAAAGCATGGCAGTATTTTTGAGAAAAATAACAGTGGAAGAACGGATTTTGTGAAGCACCGGATTAATACTGGTCATGCTCAGCCGATTCGACAACGTCCTAGAAGGGTGCCCCTTTCCAAACAACAAGAAATGGAGACAATGGTAGATAAGATGCTAGAAGATGGAGTTATCGAAGAATCATCGAGTCCATGGTCATCTCCTGTTGTTTTGGTGACGAAGAAAGATGGTAGTACACGATTCTGCGTGGACTATCGGAAGCTCAATGACGTCACTAAGAAGGACAGCTACCCACTGCCACGTATAGACGACACGTTAACCACACTGGCAGGTTCGTGCTGGTTCTCCACTCTCGACTTAAAGAGTGGATACTGGCAAGTTGGTCTGGACGAGGAAGACAAAGAAAAGACGGCTTTTTCTACAGGAAACGGACTATACCAATTCAAGGTCATGCCGTTTGGATTATGCAATGCTCCAGCCACTTTCGAACGTCTCATGGAGGTGGTGTTAAGAGGATTAACTTGGAAAACGTGCTTGGTTTACCTCGACGATGTATTGGTTATGGGAAGAACTTTTGAGGAGCATTTGCGAAATCTAGAAGAAGTCTTCGGCCGCATACGGAATGCTCACCTGTACTTGAACCCGAAGAAGTGTAGCTTATTCCAGCGACAAGTGGAATTTTGGGCCATGTAGTCTCAGCAGACGGAATTTACACTCGACCAGAAGAAAATCGCTGCAATCAAGGATTGGCCTAAACCTCGCGACAACATGAACTTAGAAGTTTTCTGGGTTTATGCACCTATTACAGAAGATTTGTCAAGGGATTTGCCAATATAGCTGCACCCTTACATAGACTTACAGGTGATGAAGTCGGCTACGAATGGAACACCGATTGTGATGTAGCCTTTGGAAGACTTAAGGCGGCTTTATGTTCAAGTCCTATTCTAGCCTACCCGCAACAACAAGGGAGGTATATCCTGGATACCGACGCCAGCAATATCGGCATAGGTGCAGTGCTATCACAAGTGCAAGATGGCGAAGAACGAGTGATAGAATATTACAGTCGAGTTCTATCCAAACCAGAAAGGAATTACTGCGTTACCCGGAAGGAGCTGCTAGCAATTGTGAAGGCAGTTGATCATTTCATAAATACCTGTATGGCCAAGAATTTTTAATTAGGACAGATCATGCGGCTCTCAAATGGCTTATGGAGATGAAACAACCTGAAGGCCAAATAGCACGATGGCTCGAGAAGCTCCAGCAGTATCACTTTACCATCCAACATCGTGCTGGGAAGATGCATGGTAACGCAGACGGTTTATCCAGAAGACCCTGTCAAACCGATTGTAAGCACTGCTGTAAAACGGAACAACGTGAAGGCACTGTCATGATAAGGAGTTTTAAGCTTGGAGCTGATGAACAGTGGACGACGGCACAGTTGAGGAAAGACCAAATGGAAGATCCAGACATCGGAGCAATACTAGGGCTCAAGGAAGGTAACGGCGAGAGACCACCGTGGCAGGATATTGCGGACAGAGGGCTAGTTTTCAAAGCTCTCTGGGCTCAGTGGAATTCACTGGTTATTGAGAATGGATTGTTAAAGCGCATGTGGGAAAGTGCGGATGGCAGGACAGTAACAACTCAGTTACTGGTACCAAGGAAGAAAGTTACCCAGGTATTGGAAGAAATTCACGGTGGTAAAACTGGAGCCCATCTTGGGGTAAACAAGACCTTGAGCAAGCTGAGAGATCGTTTTTACTGGGTGGATTATTGCGAAGATGTCAAGAAATGGTGTCGACAATGTAAAACTTGTGCAGCCAGCCAAGGACCAAGCACTCGCTCTAGGGGAAAAATGAAACAATATAACGTTGGACTGCCATTCGAAAGAATCGCTGTTGACATTGCAGGCCCATTCCCTGAAACGCACAAGGGCAACAAGTACGTTTTAGTAGCGATGGATTATTTCAGTAAATGGCCAGAAGTTTTTGCCATTCCAAACCAAGAAGCATCGACTGTAGCTGAAGTATTGGTCAATAATGTCTTCAGTAGATTTGGAATTCCCTTAGAGCTTCACACTGACCAAGGAAGGAACTTCGAGTCAAGACTGTTCCAGAAGATGTGTGATCTGCTTGGTATTCACAAGACTAGGACAACAGCTTTACATCCGCAGTCTGATGGGATGGTCGAAAGATTCAATAAGACCATTGAAGAACACCTCTCGAAAATGGTGGCCGAACATCAAAGAGATTGGGATCAACACATACCGCTGTTCCTAATGGCGTATAGAAGTGCAGTTCACAACACCACCGGACTTTCACCATCGAAGATTTTATTTGGTCGAGAATTACGGTTGCCTTGTGACTTGGTGTTCGGATCACCAGACGACGGCACCACAAATGTAGAGGACTACGCGGATGAACTGAAGGAAAGGTTAATGGAAATTCATAAGGCCGTAAGAAGTAAGATTACGCTAGCCAGTGACCGGATGAAAGCTCGTTACGACCTCAGAGCCAATTCTACGGGATTTCAACAGGACGATATGGTATGGTTATATAACCCACAGCGCAAGAAAGGGAGGTCCCCAAAGTTAACTCCAGCATGGGAAGGTCCTTATACAGTCATCAAGAGGATAAATGATGTTGTGTACCGGATTCAACGCAGCCCTAGAAGTAAGATGAAAGTAGTTCATCTGGATCGATTGAAGAGATACCAGACAGGAAACCTTGATCGGGACGATCAAATTTGAGAAGGGGGCAATGTCAAGAAAATGGCGCATCCGCCAGAAATTAAAAATGTATTACTGGTTGCCTGCACAACCGCAACGTATCCGCCAGAAATTAAAAGACTTTTTCAGGCGCCATCTTTTAGTCAAGCCGAGAAGTAAGGGAATCAGACAATAGAATTGTCTGGTATGAAGAAGTACGCTTTCCGAGAATTGGGGAAATTTCGACAAGCAGTCAATAGAGTATATAAGCCGGAGCCATCGACAACTGAGACAGTTTTTGAAATTTGAATATACCGCGTGGAAATTGAAAATCGGACAATTTGGTGAAGGAATCTTATAAATAGTTAGTTGTTGTGTGTTATAAGTTAGTAATTGTGTATAAAGTGAGAAAATAAATTCGTTAAGTATTTTATCGTGAGTTTAAATTAGTGGACCCACGGAATCCGTAACAATATATATATATTGGTATAGGACGTCATCTGGCTTTTTTCTGTCATCGTCTGTCGAAATCTGCCCTGAGTCGTAAACCAGAGTATAGATGGTGCTTTACGCTATAATCGCTACAAGTCTACGGTTTGAAATAATTATCTAATTTGTTTTTTTTCTGTTTCAGGAATAAACAGACGAAAAATCCGAAATCCTATATATTTGAAGCGTCGGTCGATCCGTCGTCAGGTACCCAAAAAAGTTCTTCGTACCCGAACATGCAGAGCAGTTCGAGTTATTTAGGCCATAGACATTCCGTGGATAGTGTCACGTTAAAAAGCCAACTGTTGCACATAAACCCCGCGAGTTCACGCGAACCCTGTCCTAACGATAAATGCGGTACGAACTCGAGTAGGCTGAAGTCGAACTGTCAGTCTGTCAAAAACAATCTGGACATCGAGAGTAGTTTAGAGTCTTTATGTATACAGATGATGGAGCACGCGTTAGGACCGTAAAGTATATTTTATATTTATTGACTGTTGACAAATTTATTTTTTTAGAGGCTAGTCGTGTTCTGTTTGCTAGTACTACAATTTTTTGTAGGAAAATGTTGATATATATGTGATGTGATGTAATTTAAGCCAACTAATGTTATGTTTTTAATAAAACATCTATGACAAGATATTAGTGTGTTTTTATTTTAGTTAATCAATACCTGTACCTGAAATAGAAAAGAATTATTTTGCGTTTGCCTTTATTTTGCGTAGATTGGAATGCCGGTCAAAATTTTGGGTCGCGATCATTGTACGCGATCTGGCGCTGCTATAACGGTTGCTATTTAGGTTGCCTAACCTAAGAACAATTGTAAACAAAAACAGAAATAATTTTCTCTTGTCAAAGTCAGAATCTTTAAAAATTATAAAATATTCCAAAATCTAAACCGCTCTCATTGAAAAAAATCCGTAAAGTGTTTAAAGCGTCCATTTTATTATTAATTTAAGTTTTATTTACTCAAATCCGTGATAATTGTGAAAATGTGACATTAAAAACTTAAAAGGCTGTGCTGTGAACTGTGAACTGCAAAAACCATGGCATAACCTAGGGGCATAACGTCGGTTTCCAATGTTTCATAGATATTTCATACATGTCTTTATATAAAATAAAGTTTCTTGTATGTAACACACTGTATTTTATTTATAAAATTAAAAGAAACTAATAATAAATTTGAATAAATAATAGGCCTGTTTGTTTTTCTGTTATTATCGATTCTGAATCGTCCTAGAACTCTCCAGCGCATGCGCAAATGAAATAATGTCTTCATATTTCCTTCTGCGCAGACGCATCACAATTCTAGGACGGTTCAGAATCGGTAATAACAGGAAAACGAAAAAAGCTAATATTTAGCGATATAATTCCGGAAAAAGCCAAACCGCTCCGAAATTTTCAAAAGCTTTGGGTCGTGACCGTTGCAAGTATAGCGCCAAATAGTGTTTACATTGTCCTTATGGGCACTTTCCAATCTAAACTTGTTTCATTTATCTGTCAGTCGGCCTGACGATGGAGATAAATCTCCGAAACCGGTCGTCGAATGGCTGTTCCCTTCAGTGATAAACTTAATGCAGATTATAGCATACAAGTAGGGGCTAGGCCTTATTTTTGTTTTTTGTACTTTGTTTAACAATTATTTTATTTTTGCATTAAAAGTATTATATTTTTCAGGCGGCTACCTTCTCGGGTTTATTGTGCTCTTCTGTGATTTTTAGCTTATATTCTCCAGTCTTATCTTTCTCAAAAAGTTTAATAACTAAAATAGGAGACTGAACCCTCTATACAGGGTGTTTCAAAAAACATGTGCCATCTTTCACGGGGAGATTCCTCACGTAAAAATTAGACTTTTTTTTATATAAACATAAGTCCGATTCTGCTTTGTTTCGTAGCTACAGAGGGTGTTAAAGTTTTAATGATCTTTCGATTAAGTAATTATAATTTTCTTCCAAGTACTTTTAGTGATTTGAATGACATTTTTAGGGTAAAAGTTCCTATAAGTGTTTTTGTTTACATATTTTAATGCTAAAAAAGTGCCAATAAATTCATCAGGGCATATAGGTTATCACTGGAATATTTTTCAAGAAAAAAACATGTGCGCTACTGACTTTTTTCTTTTGATATAAAATTTGTGTAATTTTAAGTTTAATGCCAATTAAAAGTTATCTCTTGATATTTTGTCCAATTCGACCTCCTTGATGAGATAAAAGCAATTTTATTAATTACAATTAATAAAATTAAAATAATAACAAAATTAATAAATTACATATTTTACCTAATTTATTATTAAATATTATTACTATTAGTCCAACATATATACAGCAATTTCAAATAAAAAAATAATGGTATTTAAGATAATTACCAAAAACCTATTTTTAAAAAGTTTTAACATCCTGTAACTCTAAAACTATGCATTCTGTATTTTTCCATACCCATGTTTATAGAAACTTTTTTCACATTTTTTTGATGAGGAATCAATGAGTACCTACTTATTTAAAACTTTCGCAAGTTAATGATATTACATTTTTTTAAAGGTTGCTATTAGATTTGGATCAAGGCAAATTAATAAAATTGCGTTTATCTCATAAGGAGGAGGATGAAATCGACAAAATATCAAGAGACAACTTTTAATCGACATTAGACTGCTTACACTATTTTGCTAACAAGAGAAAAAAAGTCAGTGGCGTACATGCTTTTTTTAGAAAAATATTCTAGTGATAACCCATATGCACGTCCCTGGTGAATATGTCGACACTTTTTTAGCTTTAAAATATGTCGAATTTATAGTTACTTTTACCATCAAAATTTCATTCGAAACGCTAAAAGTACTTGGAAGAAAATTATAATAAATCAAAAAAATATTAAAACGTTAACTAACGTTTGGTAGCTACAGGGTGCTACCAAACAAAGCAGAATCAGAAATAAATTTTATTTTTACGTGAGGAATCTCCCCACGAGAGATGCCACATGTTTTTTGAAACACCTTGTATAACTCTTTGTCAATAATGGATTATTTATCATTGACTAAATGCTCCTCTACACGTTGGCCAATGCATGTGCCAATATAGCTAGTCAGAGCTTATGGCCAACATTTAGAGGGAACTATTGGTCATGTTGGCGGCATTGGCTGAGTTGGATCAAGCATTGGTGATCGATCCGTTTGTTGTCTCATTTTTCAAGGCACATCACATGAAGTTGGTCTTGGCGCTGGCAGATGCGTTCACACGTTGGTTGTACTGACTGGTCGATAATTTACTGTGTGCATATTTACTAATAGTAAGAGAGCTAGAAACGTCGGGAAAATAAGTATTTTAAGACGTCTGGCTCTTTGATATATCTTTTACTATGCTTTCTAGAACAGCATGCGGCCCGTCTGGCTGCCCGTAAACGTTGCGTGCCCTGCTGCGCCTGCGCCTTGAAAGATAATCCTATATTTTTATTAGTCCTTTAAATTCTGACCCGGTCTCGAACTCTGAATTTTCGGTTCGTAGTCGGAAACTCTACGCGCTGCGCTTTGGAGACTTATTCGATTTATATTCAATACTAGAATTTAACGGAGTTACAAAGTCACGGATAATCCCGACCAATCAAAACAAAAGGTTACTATTTTTTAGGGCTGTAACGAGCCCTGTTTTTTAACTTGACTGAGTACTCGGCTAAAGGTAATGGCCGAGTACCTACTACTCGGCTGCCGAGTAGTGGAATTGTCGGGTTTTTAATAGTCTTAACAGTTATGGGACCTTTATCAATATATACTAATTATACTATACACCATAACATAATAATATTATATTTTATACATAATATAAATATAAATATATAATTTAACATTAAAGAAAGCTAGTTAAAATTCCCGGAATTCCCCGGCCTTAAACCAATGACCTTGTTTGTTTTGCCCATGATTGGCGAGCGGCTGGGATTCCCCGACTACAAACCAATGACTTGGTTTGTTTTGCTTATGGAGATATTGTTTTGTTCTGTGGTTCCCCATGCAAACTGATATTTCTAATGTGCTGGATTCTGAATTGATCAGAATTGATTCTTTTGAGGTGCGGTGGCGACGTTGATTTTGTTTTAAGCAAAACTTATATGTGTAACTAATTTAAAAGTGAAAAATAATTCAAACAATTAATAATACCCTTTAAAGTTATATTAAAATGAGTGACAATGCTGACCTCTTTTAGATTATAAGTATTAAATTATTATTTCACTCTGTTTGTGTTATTACTTATACTTATTATTATATTACTTTGCTAAAATACATTAATTAAAGTTATGAATGAATAACTTTTTGTTTATTTTATTATTTGCTACTGTGAGTCTCATTTCTTTCTGTTTTGGACATGCATAAATGAATTGTTTCTATTACTATACTTTACTCGGCCTACCCGACCGAGTAAGGCCGAGTACCGAGTACATTTTACTCGGTTAAAATTCTGGCCGAGCACTGAACTACTCGGTACTCGGGCAGCCCTACTATTTTTGTCTTGTTGCTCATTACCGATCAGCAGCTGATTGTTAAGACTTTTTTTTAAATTTTCTATTGCGATGTATATTCAGTATCCACCACCTTCTTTTTGCCGTTTTCTTTTGGCAAGTCTGAGAGTGCATTGATAACTATTTCGTCCACATGTTTAAATTTATGTCAATGATGACAGGTATTGATAATTTAGATTCCAAATATCTCGAGAACCATTACTCTTGGCTATTTTCACCAAGAGACATTTTTTACGTAGCAAATCACGGAAATGTATATTTTTTCACACAGTAGTTTTATACAGGTAGGGACGGAAAAAATCATTAATCTTCAAAACAGTTAAAACCTTTTAATAAAGGGGTCATATTGACATTAAAATCAAATTTCTCATGTCATAAAACTCCCAGACACCAATTTTCATCCAAATATTGACGTTACTTCAGGAATTATTTAGAAAAAATCGAAATAAAAATGAAATTTTTACACCATCTCCGAAACTAAGCATTTTAGGATATATACGAACTTTTTACTTATTTTTATCTGCAGAATATGCTGCCGAAGTTTCCGGAATACAGTTCGGACCACCCTGTATAGAATAATATTCCCACAACTCCTTCAAACTTCCTGAGAAAATTCTTTTATTTTATAACAAAATGTTAACGGCAGGTATATTTAGAGGATAAAGGATTTCTTATCATACTTACTCAGTTTAGAAGCTTTATAAAGCAGATAATAGCTAGTTTACTCTGAGGTAGAAATAACTTTGTAGATAGAGCCACTTGCAGGATAATTAAAACCCTTATATTTTGCTATTAACAAAGTTTGCAAGTGACAGATTTCTCTTTTTTATATCTATCCTTTACAAGAATAATTTTAGTTTGAAGCGGTATTTTCTAGTTATTTTATCTATTTGATGTATCAAATATTCTTCTAGCATTTAGCTCTCTGTAAAGAATATTATTATCTTAGGCTGGGATGCACACAGAAAGGGCAAAATTGTTTTTGTTCTGGACAATGTTGAAACGTTTTTGTCTTTTATAAAAACATTATATTTTGAAGAGAAGCAAAACGTTTCATTTGCCAGATATGCACCGCAGTAGATACAGAACTGGTCGTGACTAAAGATGATATATGATAAATAGACCAGTCGCGACAAGTGGTT